CAATTCTCTTGTTCCATGTTATGATATTGTCTGTTCTTAGGATTATACTGTGGGATCAAAGTCTCATTCCTTGGTATTTCCTCAAAAGAAATAAAGATTTATGTTCACCCAAAAGCCAGTATGTGAATGTTTATAGCGGCTCTATTCCCAATCACCCCAAACTGATGAATGGATAAACAGGATCTGGTATATACACGCAATGGAACAATATTCAGCAATAAATAGAAACACTTTTGATAAATACAACACCACAGATAAATTTCAATGCACTCTGCTAAGTGAAAGAAGCCAGACCAAAAATATGCATACTCTATGATCCACTCATAGAACGTTCTGGAAAAGACAAATGCATACAAAAAATAAAACATGGGCAAAGCCTGGGGCAGTGGGGTGAAAGGGCTGCAGTGGAAGGGCTGTTCTGTATCTTATTGTTATTATTTTACAGTTATGGAGCTTCAACCGGGGTGGTCTACCATGAAACCATACCCTTGACTCTTATTTTTTATTTTTATTTATTTGGTACTGGGGATCAAACTCAAGACTGCCACTTGCAAGGCAGGTGCTTATGCCGCTGAGCTAAATCCCCAGCAGTTCTGTATCTTGATTATAGTGACGATCACACAACTATGAGTGTGTTGGTATTTACAAATGTATGCTCTAGAAAGGGTGAATTTTACTATATGTAAATTTTACCTCAATTAAGAATGTAAACCATGCCAGGGATGGTAGCTCAAGCCTGTAATCCCAGCACTCAGGGGGCTGAGGCAGGAGGATCGTTGCAAGTTTGAGCCTAGGCTACAAACTGAGTTAAAGACCAGCCTGAACTTCACACTGAGACCTTGTCTCAAAAGATAAAAATAAGTGTGAAGAGCCGGTAAGAGGTGGCAGTGCGGAGGGACCGAGCTGAGCGGAGCCTGAAGTCGGCCGGGGGACGGTGGCTCTGTGACAGACCCAATAGAGAGACTGCAGGCCGCGAAGGCTGCTGACAAGCCATGGGGAGGAAACCGAAACACAAGAGCCAAGACAGTGCAAGGGTGACACTGATCTTGCTGCCTCGGCTGCAGAAATAGAAGGAGCTGGTGCTGCCGAAGAACAGGAACCTCAGAAGACCAAGGGGAAAAGAAACAGAGAAGAAGAAGCAGGCCTTTGATGAAGACGATATTCTGAAAGAACTGGAAGGGCTGTCTTTGGAACTCAAGGCATCAAAGCAGACAGAGGAACTGTTTCGGTGAAGCCAACAGAAAACAGTGAAGAAGAATCCATGTCAAAACAAGATGGAAAAAGAAGGGGCAGAGGCAGAAAACAAAGTCCTGACGATAACGATCGTGAAGAATCAGAAGATAAAGATTCAAAGTCAAAAAGACTGCAAAACCCAAAACGGAAATACACTCTGGGAGTGACGATGATGGTTTTAATAAACTTTCTTAAAAAACTAAACGGAAAGCTCAGAAGTCTGATAAAACGTGGGATGGCTCAGACAAGGAGCACAGTAAAAGGACCAAAGAGCCTTCTAGAGTGAACTCTTCAGGGGAGTGGCGATGAGGCCGATGAATTATTGCAGTCTAGAAAAGGATTAAAAAAAATCAAAAAAATAAGCCAGGTCCTAATGTCGGTGGTGGGAATGAAGAAGATGGCTCTTCCTTCAGAATTAAGACAGTGGCCCAACAGAAGGCAGAAAGGAAGAAACGAGACGAAGAAAAAGCAAAACTGCGGAAGCTGAAAGAAAAAGAAGAATTAGAGACAAGTACAAAGGATCAGGGTAAGCAGAACCTCAAAAGACACCTGAAGGGAAGCTGTCGGATCCAAAGTGATGGCTGACGCTGGAGCTGCTGTGGCCTCCGCGGAGAACCGAGAGACGCTCACGGCTGCGAAAGATGCTAATGAAGGAGACAAAAAGAAGAAAGATAGGAAGAAAAAGAAAACAGAAAAAGAAGATACAGAGAAAGAAAAGAAAAAAGGACCTAGCAAAGCTACTGGTTAAGCAATGCAAGAAGCTCTGGCTAAGCTTAAGGAAGAAGAAGAAGACAGAAGAGAGAAGATATAAAATGACTTGAAGAGTTAGAAGCCAAGCGGAAAGCAGAGGGATGCTTAGAACCAGAAAAAAGAGAAAGGAAAAGCAAAAAGAAGGAGAAAGAAAAGATCGCTTGAAAAAAGAAGGGAAACTTTTAACTAAATCCCAGAAAGAAGCTAGAGCCTGAGCTGAAGCTACCCTTAAACTCCTACAAGCTCAGGGTGTTGCAGTGCCATTAAAGACTCTCTGCCAAAGAAAAGGCCAATGTATGAAGACAAAAAGAAGAAAAAAGCGCCACAGCAGCTAGAAAATAAAGAAGTGTCCAGGGCAGTGGAGCTAAGTGCTGCTGTTGGCGTTGTGGAGCGAGGTGTACCAGAGAAAGAAGGAACACCCCACCCTGTGCACCCAGAAGAAGAAGAAGGTGAGGATGGCGGACTGGGTGAGTGGGAAGCCATGGCCAGTGGTGACGACAGAGAAAAAGGCAGGACAGTTCACACAGAAGTAAAAGAGAACCCTGAAGAAGAGGAGGAAGAGGAAGATGCAGACGAGGAGAGTGAGGAAGAGGAGAAGGAGAAGGAGAGAGTGAAGCCAGTGAAGGTGACGAGGACGATGCAAAGACGTCAGATGAGAAAGAGTCAGGGAAAACAGACACGAAGCAAAGAAATAAGCTCAGACTCTGAGTGTGACTCTGATGATGATCGAACTAAAGAAGAACAAGCTTATGACGAAGCAAAACGGAGAATTGAGAAATGGCAGCTTGAACATAGTAAAAATGTAAATACAGAAAAGCTAAGAGCCCCTATTATTTGTGTGCTAGACCATGTTGACACAAGGAAGACAAAAACTCTAGATAAGCTTCATCATACACATGTCCAAGATGGTGAAGCATGTGGTATCACACAGCAGATCAGGGCCACCAATGTTCCCCTGGAAGCTATTAATGAGCAGACTAGGATGATTAAGCATTTTGATAGAGACAATGTACGAATCCCAGGGATGCTGATTATCGATACTCCTGAACATGAGTCTTTCAATAACCTTAGAAACAGAGGAAGCTCTCTTTGTGATATTGCCATTTTAGTTGTTGATATTATGCATGGTTTGGAGCCCCACACAACTGAATCCATCAGCCTTCTCAAAACTAAAAAATGTCCTTCATTGTCACACTTGATAAGATTGATAGGTTATATGACTGAAAGAAGAGTCCTGACTCTGCTGTAGCTGCTACTTTAAAGAAGCAGAAAAAGAATACAAAAGATGAATTTGAGGAGCGAGCAAAGGCCACTATTGTAGAATCTGCACAGCAGAGCCTGAATGCTGCTTTGTTTTATGAGAACAAAGATCCCCGGACTTTTGTGTCCTTGGCACCTACCTCCGCACATACTGGTGATGGCATGGGAAGCTTGATCTGCCTTCTTGTTGTTAACTCAGACCATGTTGAGCGAGAGACTTGCACACTGTGAAGAGCTGCAAGTGCCAGTGATGGAGGTCAAAGCGCTCCCGGGAATGGGCACCACTACAGATGTCATCCTGATCAAGGGTCGTTTGAAGGAGGGAGACACGATCATAGTTCCGGAGTGGAGGGGCCCATTGTCACTCAGATCCGCAGCCTGCTATTGCCTCCTCCTATGAAGGAACTGCACGTGGAGAGCCAGTATGAGAAGCATAAAGAAGCAGAAGCAGCCCAAGGAGTAAAGATTCTTGGAAAAGACCTGGAGAACACATTGGCTGGTTTACTCCTCCTGGTGGCTTACAAAGAAGATGAAGTTGCTGTTCTTAAAGATGAACTGACCCATGAGTTGAAGCAGACACTACATGCTATCAAACTAGAAGAAAAAAAGGCGTCTATGTGCAGGCGTCTACGCTGGGCTCTGAAAACATCAGAAGTGACTCCCTCCACGGGAATCAACATCGGCCCCATGCACAAGAAGGACGTCATGAAGGCCTCGGTGATGCTGGAGCACAACCTACAATACGCTGTCATTTTGGCCTTCGATGTGAGAACTCAATGGGATGCACAAGAAATGCCAGACAGTTTAGGAGTTAGAATTTTTAGCGCAGAAATTATTTATCACTTATTTGATGCCTTTATGAAATATAGACAAGACTACAAGAAGCAGAAACAAAAAGAATTTAAGTCCATAGCAGTATTTCCTTGCAAGATGAAAACCGTCCCCCAGTGTCTTCAATTCTCGGAACCCGATAGTGATAGGGGTGACTGTGGAAGCTGGGCAGGTGAAACAGGGCATACCCATGTGTGTCCCCAGCAAGAACTTGGTTGACATTGGAATGGTAACAAGTATTGAAATAAACCACAAACAAGTGGACATTGCAAAAAAAAAAAAAAAAAAAGACAGGAAGTTTGTGTCAAAATAGAGCCGATCCCTGGTGAGTCTCCTAAGACGTCTGGGAGGCATTTTGAGGCTACCGACATTCTCCTCTGTAAGATCAGCCGGCAGTCCATCGATGCCCTCAAAGACTGGTTCTGAGATGAAATACAGAAGAGTGACCAGCAGCTTATTGTGGAGCTCAAGAAAGTGTCTGAAATCATTTAATGTTTCCACGTGGGCAGGCATTGGGGTAATACAATGTTCTGTTGTAACACCACCTCCAAGGCAAGACAGAGGACAGATCCGGTGTGTGTGGACACTGATGGGTTTGGTGTATGAAATGTTTTCCATGAGAATCCAAGAAGCTTACACCGATTTGACAGTGGTCAGTCCCTCATCCCCAAGTCCCTGTGTGTCATCTGCCCGCCCTCTGTGCCCTGTCCTCTTCCCTACTTGGCTGATGTTTTAAAGTTTGCCCTTCACCAAATTTGGATTTTTATTACAGATCTAAAGCTCTTTCAATTTTATACTGATTAAATCAGTCCTGCAGTAAAAAAAAAAGGACAAAAATAAATAGTAAATAAAAAAGAGTGCAAACTGTATAAAACTTCGCACGTGACACTTCTCTAAATTCACATAAACCAATAACGTGTTGCTGGGGAGGAACATTTAATGATGCAAAAAATTCACAGCATTGTTGAGTGACGGTCCATGTTGCACAACGACATACAGTGACAGGCAAATGCATGTGTTTATAAGTACGCACACCTGCCACACACTAGTAGAAAGAAAAACTGCTAGACAAAACACTAAAAGATGGTGTCCAAGAGTCTCTCTGGTGAGCCGGGTTACAGCTGATCTTTATTTTCTTTGGCTCCCTGTGTTTCCTGATTTTCCCACAGTGACCACACGTGGTCCTGGCTCTTCACAGCAGAGTCCAAGGCTGGCTCAGGGAAGCTGGAGGAGGTGGCCCCTCCATGGCTGGGAAAACAGCAGCCTCCAGTTGACCTCTGGGCCCTGTCTTGTCGTCATTTATCTTCCCTTCCTGGGAAGATAACATGAAAGCCTGGAAAAGGAAGTCCAAATCTGGTTTCAGAAGCCGCCTTCAGACACCACCAGGCATTGGGCCCTCTCTGAACCTGTATCTCGCGGGGGCTCACTCTGCCCCTGCTGCCCTGGTACTATGAACCAGTGAAGGCCAAGAGGCGCCCCCTGCTGCCCAGAAGATGACTTGCAGTTAATCACATCAACTGTGATCCAGCCTCTTTGTGTCTGTGAACCCTCTATAACATGGGGATGAAGATGGTGTGTGCGTTTTGCACGAGTGTACGCCTCCCATGTGGGCATGCATACCTGTGTGAATCGTCGCCATATTCAGCTAATGTTTGGGAGGATCGTGAAATCCAGTTGATAGGGTGGGGACCATAGCTCAGTGGCAGAGTGCCTGCCTAGCATGCATGTAACCCTGGGTTCCATCTCCAGCCCTGAAAAAAAAAAATCCAACCAATAGACATATGAGCCTTCTGGTTTTATTTTCAGGGCACATGGGGATCCAAGAATTACAGTTCTGAACCCTCAAAGTAATTTTAAAATGGTTGAAGTGCTTTTATATGTGTATGTTCCTACGTATATTTCCTAACATTTCCCTCTCTGTCCACTTCTCTCATTAGCACTACTGCTATCCTCTTGAACAATTCTCTTCTCCAACCTCTCTGGCCTCTAACTTGTGATCTTCCTGCTTCAGCCTCCTAAGTAGCTGAGACCACAGATGTGTGCCACTAAACTCAGTTCATTTGACACCTACTATGTGCCAGATTCCATTCCAGGCCATTAGTAAACAAAACAGATGAAGAACCCCTCACTCCACGCGGAGATTACAGAGCCCCACCTCAGAGCTGGTCCCAGACATCCGGTTTTCCTCTACCCCCTCCCCCCGCCATCTTCCTTATTCTGCTATCTGGAACCCTAGAAAACCCTGAGCCTCCTCTTCAGGCAAGAGGCTGTGGCGGAGGAGGCAAAGCCAGGTTGTCACCAGCAGGCAGGCCGAGGTGCAGGCTGGGCACCACCCTCAGTCACCCACAGATGGCGTCCATGACAAGTGGCACGCACCACCCGGCTGGAGCATGTATGATGGCTATGTTCAGCGGCTCTCTTCTTGGCCCCAGACCGTTTACACAATGAGCCAGTTACACAATGGTCTCCTGGTGGCCATGGGGCTCCCCGGGCTTCCTGTGGACTGAGTTCCTACTGAATACAGCATGGTGGTGTCTACCAGCCCAGATAGGGATTCTCTTCCATCACAGTGCCCCACACTGGCACAGCCTCAGCGGGTACAGTGGGAGGGGACCAGGACATGGACCTGTCCCCAGCTCCACTCCTTAGTACCTATGAAGCCTCTGCCACATTGTGTGTCTTCATCTGTATAATGTGTTAGCTTCTCCCTTGATGGGGTGGAGTAAACGAGATGTACCTAAAGTGTTTTAGATGTCTGTCCTCCCTGTCCACTCAGGGCTACCAGGCACCTGGAAACCAACCCCCAGAGACTGCCTCTTGGAGGGGTTGCCTCAGTTACCAAAGTCACAGGCATGTTCCTGTACACGACCCAGAAATTTACAGGCAACTAACTGCAAGCAAGAGAAAGCAACCAGAGCTGACGTTAGCAGAAAGGAAATTTAGCAAGAACATATTATTTGACTTACAGAACCACAAGAAATTGTCCAGGTCTCTATCCAGAACGCAAGGTGAACCTTATTAAAATTAGTTAAAATGCACACTTAGTTTTGTATCTTGCATAGCGTGTGTTCAATAAATGCTCTAATAACCCTAAAAGCCCCTCATCATGTGACAGTGGTGCTCAGAAGCCTGTGATAGTTCCAGTTGTTCACCTGGCCCCTGGGCTCTGGACATAGGTACGGGTGGGTGCAGAAGCCTTCGATTCTTGGGCAGGAACATCCACATACCGTTGGAGTCACCTACCACTCAGCTTCCATTGCTGCCCTCCCCCAGGAATTCAGATGGCTGCTCTGACTGGCTGGATCCCGGACCTTGATTGCCTTTGTTTCAAAGAAGGCTGGAATCTCAGTGGCTGGAAGGTCACAGGCCTGCGTGCCCCTTCTCTCTGCTCCTGCCCACTCTCTCCCTCCTTTATTTCCTCTCTCTTCCTCCATCCAGGGCGCCACAGCAGGCCTTTCTCTCCACCTGGGTAGAGGAAAGTGAGCGGCACAGGCCACTGCTGTGAGGCCACACTTTGTTTCTCTGGTTCAGCTTGGGGACTCAGGGTGGTTGGGGGACTGGTGGGGCAGGCGTGGAGTGATCTCTGAGGCCCTGTAGCAGGACTCTATCAGATGCCACCCAACAGACCCTAAGCTCCTCATTTCTAAAGTATACAAACTAGGATCTGGAAAAGCAGATTTATGTAACTATCAGTGGCTTTTCTTAATTGGTGCATCCCAGGAGGAACGTCTTACTTTAAAAACTTGGGAGGTTGCCAGGCTCCAAGAACAAGAGTAAAACATGATCCCATGGCCCAGTCACCATCTCCTTCCAACCAACCCCATGCTACAGCCATCAGGGAACTTTTCATCCTGAGTGCCCTTGTTTGAGAGTCCCGGCCTATCGGTCCCTCACAATGGCCAGGGCCAGCTCAGAGGTGCAGCCTCTGCTGTCTGCTCGGGTTCCACTTGGGAGGTGACTCCGACCTCCTGAGAGCCACCACCCCGCCCTGTGCTCCCCACCCCACCCATACCATCCATCCTGCACACAGCAGTCAGAAGGAATGTTCCAGAAAGGCATATCTGGTCACACTCTTGCTCTGGGCCCTACTCTGAAAGAAAAACATGGCCCTGCAGGGAAGAATTGGGGGGTTTTCCATAAAGTGTCTGTTTAGCCAGTAGCTCCTCTAGAGTGCAGGTCGTTGGACGGTGACACCCCCCAATCCTACCTTGATCCCCAACTCTGCCCACATGCAGGGAGAGGGAGAGGGAGAGGGAGGGGAAAGAGTCTAGGCAGGCCTGACTTCCTTTTTCTCCTGCTGCCTTTTCTGGAGCAGCTTCCAGGCCTGGGGTCCTCCCCAGGTTCCCCCAAGTGAATATGGCACCACCCTCTGTGTGTTCTGGAGGTTTGCTGCAGGACCCCCCCACAGATGCCCAGCTCCCTTATGTAAAATAAAGCAGTGTTTATCTACAACCTACCCACATCCTCCTTCCACTTTAAATGATCCCTAGATTATTTCTAATACCGGATCCAAAGTAAATGCCGTGTAAATAGTGGTTACTCCGTGTTGTCTGGGGAACCATGACAGGGAGAAGCCTGTACATGGTCATTAGAAACCACCCGAAGCCTAACTACAGGGTGCACGAACAGGACCTGAGGTGAGCAGCACTTGGGCACCGAGAGTCACAGAAAGGCCACGGGCCTGTGAATGGGGAGCAGCAACAGCAGAGCCGAGAACACGTCCCCCCTCACCCCGCAGGCTCTGGGTGGTGCCCAACATGCCACATGCTGCAATGTTGCATTTTGGAACTTCCTGGAATTTTTTTCTGAATATTTTTCACCTGCAGTAGGTTGAACCCACAAATACGGATATTGAGGGCATGGAGGGCGGACTGTGTTCTGTCACCTGAGCCACAAGGGGCAGGTATCGCCTGCCAGGAAGAGAAAGAGGGGAGCCCTCACACTGCCCAGTGCTTGTTTTGATGTAACCACACTGGCTCTACAAATGAACCTGCATGGCTGCCATGGCCACCCTGAATTAGGCTAGGAGACATAAAAGATAGGTAGAAAGCACACGAGAAAATCATAACATTGTACTTTTAAGAAGATTGCAAATGCCGACATCCAGTTGGAGTTACCCAAGGTGATCCCCACCACCTTTGGTTAAATTCAGGCTCCTTCCCTTTCAGATCTTCACATCTGCAATTTTTAGGAATATCGAAAGTCTGTAATTTGGTTTAATTGAAATAAAAACAAAGAGTAGAAACCCGATCCTTAAGATAAAGGAATAGGTTAAGAAAATCTAAAGAAAATTTAAATTACCTATTAAAAAAAAAAAGCTGGGTGTGGTGGTGCATGCCTGTAATCCCAGCACTCAAGAGACTGAGGCCGGAGGCTCATTGCAAGCTGGAGACCCGCCTGGGCTACACAGAGAGCTCAAGGCCAGTGTGAACTGTGTAGTGAGGCCCTGTCTCAAAAAGGCAAAAAACAAAAAAAACAAAAAAAAACTGGGCTCATACCTATAATATGGGCCAGTACCCTTCAGGAGTGCTCCTTGTCTTGGGGTTTCTACCTCCTTGAGAGAAGCATAAATGTTCCCTGATTCCCTGTTCCAGAAAATAAATACCTCCCTCTCTTGAGGGTCTGCACTCTTTTCCTTTCAGTCTGTACCTTTTAATTGTTGCTAGTAAATCCCTTCCTGTGCTTTTACTGCCTAGACCTGAAAATTCTTTTTCCATGACAGGAGTCAGCTAACCTGCAAACATTCTGCAGGTAGGGTGGGCTAGGTTCCTTAATTTGGCTTCAGGACACTCCTCACACCCTGTTCAGTGATAACCCCACCTTGCAGATGTGGTTGAGCTAGTGGCTCTTTCTGAGATGTGGGAATGGGGAATGACAGGGTCAAATTTAGTAGCGCCCCCATCATACTCTCCACAAAAGGTAATGACTGTCCCTGTGGCTGAGGCCTGGCGCCCCAAGGGCCATACATTTTGCATGGGACCAACTCAAGATGCTGTGCATGGTGGGAGGGCAGAGGAGGCTTTCTAAAAGAGATGGTGCCAGGGCCTGGACCACGGCAGCTGCATGTTCAAAGGTACAGAGGCTGACGATTACTCCTCGGAGTTAGCACTTCCCCAGGTTGGTGTCAGCTGAGAGGCTTCTCTGAGCATGGGCCAATCTGATCCTGTCTGTGCAGGACCACCTGGATGACTGTCCTTGAATAAAGCAGAGTTATCTCCATTTTGACTAATCCTGGCCCTGTCTCCATGTGCTGATATGTACAGAGCCGGCTAGGCCATTTCTTTATCCTTTCAATTGACTTTAAGCAAAGTAAATAGGGTGAACTGAGGTGACGATGCGCAATCTTTGAAGGTAGACAACAGTTGCTGTTTCCCTGTCCCACAATTCCCCCAAAATATGATTGAGCCACCACTCCACAGCTGTCTTCTGGGATCAATGTAGAGATAAGAGGCTATGACTTTCCAGGGCAGGAATGTTTACACATCAGAACTGAAGCACCCGCCCCAAAACATTAGCCGTTATCTCAGTTATGCTATGCAGATTGGTCTTCCTGCATGACCTTCTCTCTGCTTATGGCAAAGGTGATTTCAGGCCTCTTACCTAGCCCAGCTCACAGCACTCACTCATCCTCCAGCTGCTCCCTTCTTCACAAGTTGGCAAAATCCAGGTTGAGCCCTGGGTCAAGACCTTTGTTCCGGTGAACCGTTATTTTGGCTGTACTTAGGAGCCCCTTGGCTCCCCACAACTATAA